GAGAGAGAGAGAGAGAGAGAGAGAGAGAGAGAGAGAGAGAGAGAGAGTATAACTTCAGATGATTCTTTCTCTCAAATATTTACTTTACCTACAGAATTTTTACCGAAAAAAAAGAAAATTAAATTAGAATCAACTGGAAAAAAGACAACTCCTTCAGCAACTACCTCAGATGCTTGGTGGCAACAACATCTTGAAAAAGAAGAAAAAAGAAAATAAAGCAATAAAAGATAGCAAAAAAAGAGTTTCAAGAACAAAAACAAAAGATTGCTGATGAAATAAAAAAATTAGAATCACAAAAAAAAGAATTGGCAACAAAAATCAAAGAAGATTCTGTTAAAAGATAATTAAAAAAGAAAAATCTTAATTTTTGTTTCATTTTTTAATTTATCTTTTACCATCTATTTTTATTATTTAATGTTAATGACAATTTGATAAGTATGTATTTTTATTTATTAATTTCGTATAAATATTTACGTATATCTAAGTTTTAGACAATTTAAAAGTTACTGCACTTAATTGTAAAGTATTATATATATTTTAAATGTTATATTCGAATAAAATTGAAAATTTAAATTAAATTCACTCCTTTTTTTATGTCTCATAAGCATGGACATAATGAGTGAGATACTAGGTATGGGTTACGTTTACAGTGTCTCATAGTAGGTACCTTAAGTCACATTAATTTTTGTTTAAATAAAATTATTTTATGTATTAAAATTAAGCTTATAAAGCGATTTTTTACTCTAAAAGGTATCAAATTATTTATTTAAAAAAAAATAAAAAGAATTTACAATCTAAATTATTTTTAATTACCTGAAGTATTGAGGGCATTTACATAACCCGTCTCATAGTCGGGTCTTTTATCTTACATAATAGATTTCAGATATGAATCAAAAGTCTCTGTAGATGTTTTTGCTACATTTTGACAAAATTGGTCATTCGTGCCACCGATCAGAGCTATGAGTGAAACATACATTGGTTTAGTTGGGTCGTACTGCGCTCTACCCAACTTTTCCAAAAACTTATGCCTTTGCTCTAATCTACGTTTTCTGCATAACAAAACGTATGGTTGAGATGAAATAAATTCATGAGATAATTTCATCTCATTATGCGCATAATCAAATGTACTGATTATATTTTTTTTACCTGAAAATATAAAAGATAATAACAACTTTTAGTTACTCAGTAATCGATAGAATAGATTTGATTGATGCGTTTATACAAGGTATCCTAGTTTTTTCCACAGAATTTATTGATATATTTTATAAGTAAAAATAAAAAAAAAATTTATAAATATGAGCTCTAAAGTGTTTATTAAAAAAGTTATAACAGAAATATAAAATGATAATGGACTGGTGTTTTGTCTACACAGCATAAGAATCATTGCCGATATATATTTGATTATGTGACAATAACATATTCGAATTTCACTTTTTACTGCAAAATTTATGGATCTAATTGGATAGTTGTTTCGTATATTATATAGTACCAGTAAGGCAATAAAATGATTATTACCTCTAAAATGGAACAAAATAGATCAAAGAGAATAGAACAATAGATCCTTGGCCTCCAAAATTACTAAATATCACACGAATGGATTTTTACTTACGGGAAACAGTAAAAGAAAAAAATTATTATCGTTAATTAATAAGAATGGAAGCAAAGGATTAGTAACGTATTAGGTGCAATTATGTAAAATAAACAAAAAATTCGTAATGCAATAAATTCTATTCTCCATAAATATGTCTTGCGTTCATGATAATGAACATTTTGAAATGGAATTATAATTTGAATCGATAATCTATTCCTATACTATATCGAAAAGGAAAACAATTCATTGTCATTCTGTATTATTGTTCTAACTTTTTAATGAAATGTTTAAAAACTCATGTTTATATAACATTTTTATTTTATTTTTACTGATAAGTATTCCGATAAAATTTTGCTGAAAATAACTAAGACATCCTTTATAAGTTGACGTTAAAGAAAATTCTTACATTTCATCCATATTTTAGGTTGATTTAATAGTATCGCTTTCATTTCGTATCGATTAAAACCCATTAATTCTTTGACAACAAATGTATTTTCTCTTATGTGATTCATTTTGTATGTTATTAATTTTGAATTTTTAGTTGTCAATTGTCTTACTTCTTTTCCATTGAGACAAAAAGTAGTTTGAAAATATCCTAGCCTAGTATCTATAATCTTAGTGGAAAAATTTAACCATTTAGGATTAAAGCAAATGATTGTTTTGATCATATTTATATTGAACTGATGAAATCTCAAATATCTTATTCTCGTATGTAAATCATCCATGTCCACTTTAAATAGATATGGATTTTTAGTGAAGAATTCACCTAAATATTCACCAGGTACACCACAATCATGTAAGAATCTTATATATGGAAACAGATCTTTTTCAAAATCTTTACTCAACAAAAATTCCATCAGTTCTACGTCAGTTTCATGTTCATATAATTTTACACCAAGCTTTATTAATCTTTGAATAGTTTCAGAACTATTTGCATATTTTGCTATATTATAACTAGGAAGTTGATAATTTCCAATATGAGAAATGTCTTCATTACAAAAGTCCAAAGCTTTAGGTAATTTGATATACTCATCATAAATACTTAAATCATCTACATTAGTTATTGTCTTTTGAATCCAATCAGAACTGTTTGATTGAGTTTCTTGTAAACTTTGCACAGGTATAACTTCATTTTCTAAATTCAATGCTTTTTCAACATAACCTCTTTCCTCAGGTTTAGATTCAATCGTTGAAAAATGTGCATTGGGATTAATCGAGTTATTTATATTTCTATTTTTTGACAGAAATTGTTTTTTAAAAATATTTGTTATGACTTTAATTTGTTTTGCATTACTAAGGCTGACATAACACCGTATAGACCACATTTTGATAACAATATATAGTTGTAAATTAACTTAAGTTGTTAAATAACTTTTCTTCTTTCTAACCCTCTTTACTTTTTAAAATATATGTATAAATGCATTTCTGAAGGCACACACATGTTTATACACTAAAAATTAAATATAATTATTTAAAATTCAATTACAATATAATTCTACTCTATATACGTTCAAAGAATATATCATATACTGTCAAAGAATACTGTATTTGATAGTTTGTTTGTACCGTCATCGCGTTAAGTACCTACAACAGAATAGTACCTACTATCGTCTACTGGTGGTTAGGTTAGTAACTAAGATAAATCTGGTTAGAAAAAAAAGTGGACTTGTAATCTTCTATGTACTTCTATATTCTTTGATAGCGTTATAATTTGTAATAATATATTTTTTCGAATTAACGATAGAAAATAATAGAATTATTAATAAATAAAGTAAAAATAAATAAATATTCGAATATATACATTGACTGCAAAAAAGATCAACAATTTTAAATAGATAGACATAAAAACAATATAAAAATAAAAATACTAAATTCATCACTGTGTATTACAATGTAATCACCAAATAGTCCAAAAAATAGTTAACAGGTTATATTACTAAAATGTAATATATATTTGATAATATGTAATAATCTCGGGATAGTATTCGCGCGTGTGATTTTCAAAGCAGATATTAAAATTAATATTTAAAATGCAAATATAAATGTTGTCCTTTAACACGTTGAGCACCACGCGAATTCTTAAGAAAATACCGGTCAGGTAACGCGTGTGGTCTGATCAGAATTTCCTTAACCCATTCCAGACGGCGATTTTTTTCGAACACGGTCCCCAAGAGCGTAATTTTTTTCTTTTTTATATTGTTCATTTTTAATAAAAAAACTTGTTTACTATGGAAATCACTCAATTCATAAGTGAATTCACATAAATAAGATGATTGCACACCGTGTGTGCACCTCGCTCCTTAAAATAATTTTATTGTTAGGAGCGGATTAAACACCATGTTTGCAAATGTACGGTAAAATAAAAATACATCATTAAAATTGATAAAGACTTATTTTAAAAATAGTTAGATAATATAAAACCGTTACTTTGCTTTAAATAATGAAGAATAGAATATAAACTTTTTAAGAAATAGTAAAAAGTCAAAAAAATAAGTTGAATAATGAAGAAAATAATATAAATGAAAAATAAATTTTTAGGAAAATGTCTAAAGGTAATAAAGTAATGTAACTCAGTAATGAAAAAGAAAATTTAATTTGTAAATATATTTTTAGAAAATAATAAATTGATCGTAAAGTAGCTACACATTAGTTGGTTGATGATACCGCTTGAGACATTTTCACAAACATAATCTAGGATTTCCGACACAAGCAGGGCAACAAACCGATGCAAAATTTTGTTTTTCTGTACTTTACAGATACTATTAATATAAAAACAGTCTTACCTTGACGACTATTTTACTCACAATAATTGATAATTGCTCATTACTACTATCGCTCATCTGGTGTGCAACCCGTCTTTTTGCATCGGAAAGAAATTGCACACATGGTGTGCAATCGGTCTCGAATGGATTCAAAATTCGCGTGGCGCTCAACGTGTTAACCCTTTCGCGGCTAACAGCGCCTTTAGGCACTCAACTATAGATGCTCTGTCATATAGACAACATTTAATGTTAGTTTATGTAAGTTAATATAAGTTTCCTATAAAAGTCATATAAACAACATTAATAAAAGAAATTTCATAGAAGACAACGTGCCAGTTTGAAGGTTAATTTCGAGGAAGACGGTGCACCGAACATATACTCCTTGCTTTTAAACAACAATACACATTTCCTTTGATTAATTAACAATTATTTTAATACTTTAATGCACTCTACTTACATTACAGGAAAATTTTACCCTCGAAGTCATCACTATGAGGGAGTGCTAATATAATTACATAAAAATGAAAAAAATACTAAAATCACAACGTTATAATTTTAAATTCATTGTTGATAATGAGTGCGATCTTGGAAGATAGGAAAGCGGAGGGTGCCCTAATATGATGTCATGCATTGATAAATACTTGCGTAACGGTGTACTTAATCACGGAAAACGTTGGGAGGAAACAAAACTTATCGATATATATCAATAATATGTAGTATTCATATTATTCAAACAAGTATGATCGATATATTGATATAATTGCTGACTAGTAGTATTTTGGCCAGGTATATTTCGTTGAATAATTAAAATGACAATATAATTGTGAGCACAAAATAACTTTTATTTATTAACATGCTAGAAAGTTAACTTCTTACATTACTTTGTTCCTCTCTATCTACTTCTATTTAATCGCAAGATATATTTCGTTCAGTTATACATTTTCTACACTTCCGTTACTTTGGTTATCTAATCATACTCTACTCAAACTAGAAAACTTCCATATATCCGAGATCGCTCAAGATTCGTATGGAAAGGGAAACGGAGTATCCTCCCGAAAGGCGTTACGGGAGAAAAAGGATAGGTCCCATTGGTCCCGAACGTCTCATTTTCGATCAGCTGACATTAATTAGCCCCAGAAATATTCCTTCGGATTTTCTTACACAGGTCTCGCTATCTACTCAAGTAGACCACTCTACTCGGGTTCATTTTATACAAGGATGGTTCCTTTTCTAAATAACACATTGAAATCTAAAAGTTTAAATGATATGACTTAGGTGATAGCATAAGTACCGAATTCTCCAGATTGTTTCATAATTCTTGTTTATGTTTTATTCTCGATTTCCCATCAACTGATAATGTAAACACAACAAGTAGATATAGGCGAAAACTTTAATTATTGATGGTACCGAAAATTGCCGACGAGATCTTGAATGAAGTCTTTCCACGTGGATTCGTGATCGTATCCCATTTTTTTGAACCTGTATAACGCTATAGCCCGAATTCCCGCACATTTTTTAGTATGCCTATCACTTACAATACCGCTAGGGGATAACTATTTAGGTGTTTCAGAAAACAAGTTTTTATCGTGGAACCTGATTACGAAGACACGACAAGAATTCTTGAGTCGATGGTACAACGATTTGATTTGCGAGCTCCAAAAACAACAGAAGTAGATCGATTCAAAGAATAAAATTGAGGCAGACATATAAGGTGGCAACTGGGGAGGGTCGTGAATATTCATCCTGGAGACGACAACGTGATCTGGGTCGCTACGGTTAAAATCGTTCAAGGAATAATTAAATGCAATGCGACGATTATTTGTTCTTTACCGATTTATTATACTATTTAAGTCACATCTTTTCGTATATTGTAACTTTCCACGATAATTGTTCGACCACTATTGTAAAGATATATGTAACTAGGGAGTCACACTTTACGCACACATGTCGCATCTCACGAATTTTTGTTTGATCGCTATACTCTCAACGGGGGGTAGTATGTACGATCGAAAACCGACCGAAGTTTATTGCGACTTTAATTTCCCAAATTCCAAACATGAGCGTCAATTTGTCCAAATATTGTCCATGACTGTAGTTACAAGCATCCTCTCGCTTAATACCGCTGTGGTAGACCCTTGTTGGGCTAGTTTCTTAAAGCATTTAGCAATCCCTTCTATGATTTTCACGAGTAAAGTGGAAAAAAGCAACGGAGAATCTCTATTACGTAAAAAACGTAACGAAAGGAATAAATAGAGCAGCATATTTTTGCGTTGAAAATCGTACCTAAAGATGCAGAGGAAATATCACAGTACATTCCTGGAGGTCATAAAATTAATAAACAAACAGAACAAACAACCCAGGTATGAATTTCTCTCGTCACATAATTTCCGTTACAACATCTACGAAAAACGTTAACCTTCTGCATCGATGGACTGTTGAGTGGACTTTCCTGCTATTAGATAGTCAACCTAGAAAAGGGATGTCGATCATCTTCTTTCTATAAAAACCGTCGAAGAAACACCACAAGTTTCATTCATTCACTCAACTCGATTCACTTAATATCAAGAAGAACAATTCTTCGAGATCGTATCAGCTACTGACGACGTGGTAGAACAGCATCAAGTAAGAAACGCAAGCAGCATATCAGCATGCAACATATCCATCAAGAAATGTATCATTTAACAATCATCAGGTCTATATCATAGATCACAACAACAACAATCGACATCATAACATACAACGGGATTTTAGCGATAAAGAACATAATACCAATCAAAGCAACGGTCGTTCAACTATCTAATTACTAGGAAATCATAAAGCATTCTTGTTGGAACGAAGCGAGAAGAATATCCCTTATAATAAGTATTTTAAATATTTTTATATTACATCTTGTTGAGCGTATTGCGAGAAGAACTCGTCGGATATTGGGTATCTCTACTTAATAATTTTACTTTAACATCCTCAATCGCATAAATGCGAGCCGCATGCTTACAATTCTTGTATACGTATAAGTGCAAATAATTTCCTTATTTCTCTCTCTCTCTCTCTCTCTCTCTCTCTCTCTCTCTCTCTCTCTCTCTAACGTTGTATCAACATATATGTTATAGGAAAAATGGGAAATGCAGGCATTGTTCACATCGTGGATAACAATACAATTGTAGACAACATATACAAAAATTTAGGATTTTTATGTCGTTGAGGCCTTTCCCTAACGAGCCAAATGAATGATTATATAATTTGACTCAACCATGGCTTTTATTACCCTTTGTTGCGTCAGCTATCCGAAATCACGAAAGTACTCCATGTTGGAAAAGTCTAGAAGCGTATGTACATATAATTTACTTTTAAGGCGTACGCAACAAAGTTAAGTTTTCAAGTAATTATGACAATGGGCTGAGTTGAAAAATTGAAAAAATTTATTTTATAAAATTAATATGTTGATAATTATGATAGTAGACTAATATAAGTAAAAAAATTGATCAAATTAGATTTTATTATTTATTTTATAATATAAATAACGGCAGAATATACAAAAAAGTCATAAAATCCCTTTTTTTTATTTAGTTCACTTTCATAATTAGCGGCACAAGTAATTGTAATAAAAAAAGAATCATAAAATGACTGTTTTCGATTTTAGATATTATCTGTTGTTTCTATTATCGGCACAAATAATTGTAATATAAAACAAATCAGAAAATCAATTTTTTTCCATTGTTTGATTTAGTCAACTGTCATAATTACCAGCACAAATAATTGTAACATAAAAAAAATCATAAAATCACTTTTTTCCAGTTTTAGATATTTTAATACATTTTTATAATAATGGCCACATTATACACACGTATAATTTATTTCACGGAAGTTAATTATTATTACATATAAGGATAAAAGATTAAAATTTAAGACAAGAAATTCATTGGAGTATTTTCCTTTTTCTGTTTATCGTGTTCAGGAAGACGTTTAAAGGCAAGAATATTTTACTTGTAAATAGAATGGTGCCTGTACTGGTTTCTTCCTCTACTAGCAGATCTTTCTTTCTTTTTAATCAGGCATCAACTCTCTCTCTTTGGCAATGAACTTTCCTTGCATGTCGCTAGTGTATCCGTGACTACGATACCGGCAAGACACTACGTTCTCTACTGTATTCTCATTTTTCTTACGGAGATAGAAAAATTTCAAATACCTAAGACTATTGTCAAGTAGATATATTTAAAAAAAAACAAAATATATTTTTTTATGAGAGGATGCTTCTAAGATGTGCCATCTTCGTCGGTCTCGTGTCCGTCGTAGCCACAATTATTTATTTAACACCAATACCAGGTAAGTTTATTTAAAGATCAAGCTTTGTATCTCTCTTTTATATATATATATGTATAATTTTTTTTTCTATTTTATACATTTCCTCCCCCCCCCCACCATAATTTCATTATAAATAAATACTAAGTTGAAATGTAATAAAATTGCAAATTTTGTATACATGAGACAACGTTAAAAACTACTTATAATAAACTCAAATGTTACACTTTATGTATATGTATATTTGGTTTGAGTATCATTTTTTATAATTATTTATCATTAAAAGAAACTTGTGTTATACGTGTAGAGGATATATAGAAATATATTTTTGTGAAAGTATGAAATTTGAGCAAAATTTGTTTATTTAAAATTTGGTTTGTAGAACAAATAGATATAAAACATTTCGTTGTACGTGTATGGGAGGATATACAGTAATGTTTTATAATTTTATTTAAATATTTTTTTTGAGTATTATGAAATAAAAAAAAACTTGCTTCATATATAAAATTTTGTTTGAAGAGACATAGGTATGAGAGATTATACAATAAGCAATTTCATTTTAATAATTGTCATAAACGGTCTATACGATGAATGATCATTAGGTGAATGACCTGAGAGTTTGTACTATATCCATACCGCAAAGAGCCTATCATACATACTGTAATACATCCATGGTCAAGGATGTAAACTGAGTGAACGTTATGATGTCTTTTTTCACTCGATTAAGACCGATTGTAAATTACTCTAACGGTTACTCGCTTGAAATGATAACTATACGACTATATAAAACTAGAAAGAGATCTAAATCATTTTATAGTATTTCAAAGAGTTGTAATAGTTATCTAACAAAAAGCAATTTCATTAGAAACGCAAATGTCACAAATGTTTTTATATATTCATATTTTTTATCAGTTATAAGAAAAAAATACGCTTATATTTGGATCTAATAATTAATAGTTATTTATTATTAAAAATTGTATTTATAATAATAATTTCATGCAAAATTTACAAAATTTCGTTAATTCATACATGTTCGTTTTAATCCGATTTTTGAGGATCAATATAAAATAATCAAATAATTTTATAAGTAAAATTTAATAATTTATTATTGGAAATTGTACATAAAGTGTAGACTTTCTACTAAGATTTATAAAATCACGTTCTTTTATATGTTTGCTTCAATCTGATTTCTAATAATTAACATGAAAAAATGTAATAATTTATAGGTAATATTTCTTAAATTATTATTGAAAATTATATTTACGATAAATTTCGTACAAACTTTCAATAAGGATTTTTAAACTCGCATTATTTTATGTACATTCGTTTCAAATTGATTTTTAAAATAATAAATATAAAATAATTATATATTTCTTAAATTAATATTGAAAACTATACTAGGACATATTTTATATTCGGATTTTTACAATTGCTTTAATTTATATGTTTATTTTTTTTTCAATCCGATTATTAGAAATAAATATAAAATAATCGAATGATACACACACACACATATATAATATTTTATATAGATTATTATTAAAAATTATATTTCATTTCGTTTATTCAATTTTATTAGAATGTTCAAACTCGTGCTAATTTAAAGTATAAAATAAAAATAAGTCACATATTTTTAAAAGATGGTATTTATAAAAATTGAAAGTTATCGAGTGAAAGTGTGAATATCTGTAAAAGTGAAATATCAAAATTTCCTTTCCCTTTTGAAGAGAGTAATTCGTTAACGTTTCCGCTATGTTGTTGAAACAACGGTGTTATGAGATTTTATGGAGGCATTTCCTAAAGGATTAATGACCGGCAAAATATATCCATCATCGTTGTCACTTTAATAGGATGCCCAGCACTTTCGAGTTTATCTTTTTGTTTTTCTCTTGATGATGTACTTACTTTTGACAAATCTTATGCAATTTGTTTTTCTCTTTCTTTTACGGGAAAATAATGGCGGAAATCTTTCTTGTAGAAATAAATATTTTATTTTTCTTCAAATCAACGATTCGTCGACGACCAGAAAATTTATTACAGGAAGAGTTCACTCTTTGCAAAGAAGTTGAATAATAGCGAATAACGAAAAAACTTTAATCTTTCTTCTATTATTCTCGTAAGAGATCTTAGATTTTATGTTGGTAAGAAGTATTTGAAGTGAAAGAACGCATAAAAAAGTACCGGTGGGACATTAAATCGAATCTTTGTGTCGTAAAACAAAATTGCTTGGAATACTCTAAACGCGAAGGCGTGTTTGCGTACCTGTAGATGTAGAAAACACTTTCATCGCGAATTTCTTATATTACACTTTTGCTATCAGGGAATTTGATAAGTATAATATCGAATATCATAATATCGAATTTGAAGATTATTTTCTGGAAATAGAAACCATGGTGTTCTTGCCTTGAATTATTAAAGCACATTCGAGATATAATATTTTATATATCGTCTATGTTCAATCAAAAGCCACTTACTAACATTTATACTAATCTGAGTTATTGTTCGTCAAACAAATTATCAACAGGAAAAATCAGGTTTCGGACAAACATTCTTTTTGTTAATGCTTTCTACTACGCTTTCTCTTTGTAACAGAGTAGATAGTGAACTTTTTCTGGATTGTTTATGAATTATTAAACCATGTAAACAACGTGCTACGTAAGTCATTTTGGGCTAAAAGAATAGTTAAAGACTTTTGCCTGAACAAAAACGATATATTTATTATATAAATTATATTAATTTTTATTATATATATATAATATATATTTTTATTATAATATATTTTTATATATTATATAAATTGGATAAGTATGGGTATTACTACTGATTTGTCTATTACTACAGTTAAAGTTTAAAGTTGAATAACCTAATGAAATATAATTATTTCTTGCTTGAAAAAAGCTTGACTAACCACTTAATACCTAAAATAATAAAAAATTTTTTAATGATTTTCAATTGTACTTTTCATTTGCTTTATTTTTTATTTATTTTTCCATCCGCAGTATTTCTCACGTAGTAATTGAAAATCCGCAGTAATAGATGTGCAGTATATATATATAATATACGTAATAAGTTATTATTTATTAATTACTTTTTATTTAATTAGAATATACTTCTATTATTTTTAAACTTTTTCTTTTATTAAAATAATGTTTAATATTGATTATTAAAAAAAAACTCGATATCTTTCATTAACTATTCAAAGTATGCTTTTTTTAACACAATCGTAGATTATCGATCGCAATAATACCTATACTTACCCTATATACAATTTATGATTAAAATTATTTATTATAAAATAAATTATAAAATAAACTTTTTCTTTATTTTTTAACCTTATCCACTTTCATAGTTATCGGCAAGTGTATGTTATATTAACATTTATTAGAGAATATTCTTTTAAAATACTTTTATTATAATATTAATATTTGCTATATAAATTATATTAATATATATTAAAACTTGTTAATATTTATATATAATATTTATTATATATTTTTTTAATTGAACTATTCAAAAAATCATTGTGCTATATCATTTGTCATTTACATTTGAGGACTATCGAGGATTGCAGGGTTGACTGTAAGCAAGTCTGATAATTCAATCAACTATTTGAATGATTAAAACTCTATTACAACGTTCAATTTTATAACTCATTATCTGGATGTTAATCAGTGTATATTTGTGAAATATAATTTTTCATTAAAAAATTGGAGCGTTTTCTCGGTATTGCAGTGTATTAGAATAACTCCTGAAATAAGTATCGTTATAACTCTATTAATAAGTGGGTATGTTAACGTTACAGTCTGTTAATTCGTATTTTAAATGCTCGCGTTGAGAAAATCTTATGTATAGATGTTTATTTTTTGTCATATTAATAATAGCTTTCGATTCTTATATCTTTCTTAGTGTTTCGATATCTATAAAGTTTCACGATTCCTTATATTATATATATAAGATTTTCTATATTCATATATTAAAATATACAGGATGTCCCAATTATTTTCAGCAACATTTTATCGGAATACTTATCAGTAAAAAGAAAACAAAAATGTAGTATAAACATGAATTTTTAAATATTTTATTAAAAATTTATAACAAGAAATACAGAATCATAACGGATCGTTTTCTTTTTCGATATCGCATAGGAATAGATTGTCTCAATTCAAATTATAATTCCATTCAAAAATGTTCATTATCATGAACGCAAGATTGACATCTACGGAGAATAGAATTTATTGCGTTACGATTTTCTTGTTCATTTTCCATAATTGCACTTAATACGTTACTAATCTTTTGCTTCAATTCCTGACGCTTATTAATTAACGATGATAATATTTTCTTTTACTGTTTTCCATAAGTAAAAATCAATTGGTGTGATATTTAGTAATTGTAGAGGGCAAGGAATTGCTCCTCCTCGACCTATTTTGTTCCATTTTGGAGATAGTGGTCATTTAGCTATTGCCACACTAATACCATATAATGTACTAAACAACTATCCAATTAGATCCATAAATTTTGTAGGGAATCTAAAAAAATTGTGCATTTAATCTTTCAGGTAAAAAATGAAGTCTGAATATGTTGTTGTCACATAATCAAAAATATATCGGCAATGTTGACGAAAAATCAATTCTATTTTGGCCAGGTATATTTCGTTGAGTAATTAAAATGACTTTTATTTAATCGCAAGGTATATTTCGTTCATTTATATATTTCCGCACTTCCGTACTTCGCATTAAAAAATTCCCATATATCCGGGATCGCTCAGGATCCGCAAAGAGAGGGAAACAGAGTTTCCTCGCTAAAGGTGTTACAGGAGGGGATTAGGTCTCCCATTAGTCCCGAGTGTGCCTTTTCGACCTGCCGACTTTTATCAGCCTCAGTAATATTTCTTCGAATTTTGTTTACGCATACTTTGGTTTCTAGAATACACAATCTGTTCTTTTATATACCTTAGTCCTATCAACACTGATACGGATCACTCTACTCGGGTTCGTTTTTCAAAAAGAGGCTTCCTTTTCTAAAAG